TACTACAAAGCCACTGTTCTCAAAACTGCCTGTTACTGGCACAAGAACAGACATATAGACCAGTGGAACAGAACAGAGAACCCAGAAACTGACCCAAGCCATTAAGCTCCATTAATATTTGACAACGGAGGCAAGAGCATACAATGGAGTCAAGACAGTCTCTTCAATAAATGCTGCTGGACATGTACATGCAAAAAAAAAAAAAAAATGAAACTAACCACCAACTTACACAACAGACAAGAATAAACTCAAAATGGACAAAGACTTAAATATAAGTCGCGAAATCATAAAAACCCTAGAAGAAAACAGGCAGCAAAATCTCACACATCTCTTGTAGTAATATGTTTACCAGCACATGTCCTAGGGCAAAGGAAACTAAGGAGAAAATAAACAAATAGAACTATATCAAAATAAAAAGCTTCTGCACAGCAAAAGAAACCATTGTGATAAAATGAAAAGGGAATCCACTGAATGTGAGAACATATTTGCCAATGACACATCTGATAAGGGGTTAATTTCCAAAATATATGGGGAACTCATACAACTTAACAAAAGGAAGATAAACAATCCAATTAAAAAATGGGCAAAGAAAAAAAAATAAAATATTTAAGTCCGAGAAAAATGAAACCAAACAAAATGTTCTAAAAAAAAATAATTGGCAAAAGACCTAAATATACACTTCTCTAAACTGGACACACAGAAGGCCAAGAGACATATGAAAAAATGCTCAAAGTCACTAATCATCTAAGAAATGCTAATCAAAATGACAATGAGGTGTCACCTCACACCTGTCAGAATGGCTATCATCAACAAATCAACAAACAACAAGTGTTGGCAAGGATGTGGAGAAAAGGGAACCCGAGTGCATGGCAGGTGGGAATGCAGACTGGTGCAGCCATGATGGCTGAGGGACCCCCCACCCCCCAGTGCATGAATGTCGTGCACCGGGCCTCTAGTATATGCATAACCCATGGACACAGATAATAGGGTGGTGAAGGCTTGGGGTGGAGGGTGGCGGCAGGCTGGAAGGGGGGATGGAGGAGGGGAAAAGGAGGACATATGTAATACTTCCAACAACAAAGATTTTAAAAAAATGAATAAAATAAATATTGCATTAGAATATATTTTATCCTGGTCACTGAGCTTTTGGTGCCCCCTTAAAATGCATGCTTGCAGTCAGTGCCTCACTGTCCTTACCCTCATTTTAGCCCCTTTTTCCAACTCATGTTAGGGTCTTTGTGCCCACCCCCAAGGCCACGCCGGCCCCCGTGGGCTCCCACCCGGACCCGGGCAGAGAACTGAGTAGAGAGAGCCAGGAAAGTGGGGCTATAAGGTGTGAGGGAAGGCTCAGCACCAGGGTCAGGCCCCAGGACACTGGATGGAGGGGAAGATGGGGCTGAGAAGAAACAGGACTCAGGGCAGGGGAGGAGGGGACTCACTTTGCAGGCGGAGGAGCGTCTGTCGGGAGGAGCAGCACAGAGAATGAATCTCCTCAACATGGTCGGGAAAAGCTTCCTGCAGTCCTTGTAGGAGATGATGCTGACGGGGGAGCACATGAGCTGTGATGTGTTCCTCACTGTGGGGGGAGTTAGGGGGCGGTCAGGGGCTTGGGTGGCCGGACCCTTGGGTGCTGATAAAAGAGTAGGGGGCGGGGGTCCTGGATGTTGAATAAGGGGAGGCCGGGCGACTCAATGTTATGGTTAAGAAATAGGCCCCAACCATCGAACTCTTGGATTTGAGGGAGGAGGGTCTGGAGGCCAAAACTTATGGGCCTGGGGGTGAAAAAGGCTGGGGCTTCTGTGTCTATAAAAGGAGGCGTCTGGGAGCCAGATGTTGTGTGTGTGAGAGCCTGGAGGGTGCTGGGGGCCTGGATCCTTGGGTCTGAGGAAGTACCTGGGGGCAAGGACTCTCCTGTCTGACGGAGGCAGGGGCTGGGTTCTGGACATGGAAATATCGGGAGATGCATCTGAGAGACAAATATTCTTGGTCTGCATGAGAGGTGACTGGGGGTCTTGGACCCCTGGGTCGGGAAGATGGAGGTTTGGGATTCAAGGATTATGGGTTAAGACAGCGGTTCTCAACCTGTGGGTCGTGACCCCTTTGGGGGTCAAACGACCCTTTCACAGGGGTTGCCTAAGACCATCAGAAAACACATATATAATCACATATTGTTTTTGTGATTAATCACTAGGCTTTAATTATGTTCAATTTGTAACAGTGAAAAGATATCCTGCATATCAGATATTTATATGACGATTCATAACAGTAGCAAAATTACAGTTATGAAGTAGCAACGAAAATAATTTTATGGTTGGGGGTCACCACCACATGAGGAACTGTATTAAAGGGTCGCAGCATTAGGAAGGTTGAGAACCACTGGGTTAAGAGGAAAGGGGGTCTATGGCAGAGTCCTCAATCCGCTGGGAAAAGGCCTGGTGACTTGGACTCCTGGGTCTGAGGCTCAGAGGGGTTTGAAGGTCTGGGATCTTAGGTTTGTTACCTGTATCCTGTGTCTTAGACAAAAAGGGAGCCATGGGCTGGGCTATTCCTGGGCCTCAGGGGGCAGCCTTACCTACATCCACGGTGGTGCTGCCCCAGCCAGAGACGGTACAACTTGTCCCAGGCTGTTTGCAGCTGGAGGGCACGCCAACTGTCCTCACAGTGGATGAGAGCTTGGCCGGGCTGCTCAGCTTCACCAGCATGATGTCATGGACCTGTCTGGCTGCGTCAAACTGGGGGTGGACGAAGGATTCTGTGGCCCTGATCCTCTGGGCATTTCCATCAACCAGAATATCACTGCCCACTTGCACAATATACTCACTTGAAAAAAAAAAAAGCAACATTGAGAGGGAGACTCTGTGACTGGGTAGGGCAGTGGTCGGCAAACTCATTAGTCAACAGAGCCAAATATCAACACTACAACCATTGAGATTTCTTTTGAGAGCCAAATTTTCTTAACTTAAAACTATATAGGTAGGTACCTTAACTAGGGTACTCCTAAGCTGGCCTTTGCTAAAAATGTCCTCAATCTGATTGAGGTATGTTTGCTGAGGTCAACCCCTTCCAACTCTCCCATCCACACTCGTCTTGTATACTTGTTTCATCTATCTCCTTTCGTTCATCCTCTCTATATGTCCACCCCCCACTTCTTCTAACACCACTTCTTCAAAATAGACTCGCCCAGGCCGAAAACCGACTTGTGCGCATGGGCCACGAAGTTTCAATCGCACTGTACGTGCGCGCCTGCACATGGTATTTTGTGGAAGAGCCACACTCAAGGAGCCAAAGAGCCGCATGTGGCTCTCGAGCCACGGTTTGCCAACCACTGGGGTAGGGGAACATAGACCCAGAATGAGGGGGACAGAGAACCGGAGAGAGGTAGCCAGAGACCTAGAGTGTGGAGGAGAGAGAGACACAGAGAAAAACCAAGACTGAGAGAGAGAGAGAGAGAGAGAGAGAGAGAGAGGCAGGGACAGACACCCAGAGTGAGAAACCGAGTCCCCGTGGCTCCCCTGCCACATACCTCTTGCGGCAGTGGGCGACAGTGAGCACCCAGTCCTTGTGGACCAGCACCCCTGCACACTTGATCCCATGGTCCGTAAACAGGGCCACCTGCCAGGGTTGGGCGCCTCTTGGACATGGAACTCCATTAATGATCCTCTCCCCGGTATCCTGGGCTGGATGGAGACATGGGGAGGGCATGGGTAGCAGGCCTCAGGGGATGGATGCCCAGAGACAGCGATGGAGAGAGAGACAGACAGAGAGGCGTGGAGAAGGGCAGAGGCAGACACGGAGCCCAGGGCAGAGACAGCTGCAGACGGAGATGGAGAGAGACAGAAGGAGCCGGCTCAGAAGCCCAGGGCAGCAGCTGGTCTGGAGGCAGCCCCAGCTTCTGATGAGAGAGACACTGAGGGCGGGAAGCAGCCTGGAGGGCACCCAGAGCCCAGGAGTCAGGAGGGAGCAGGAAGAAAGGGGCCACAGCCCAGGGGCCATGTCTCCATGGGAGGAGGCTGCTGCAGGGGAGGGTCCTGACTCAGGGGCTCCTTGGAGAGAGGGGGCCTGGACACCTCCTCCCTCAGACCCAGGAGCCCCAGTCTGCACCCACCTCCTCCCTCAGACCCAGGAGCCCCAGTCTGCACCCACCTCCTCCCTCAGACCCAGGAGCCCCAGTCTGCACCCACCTCCTCCCTCAGACCCAGGAGCCCCAGTCTGCACCCACCTCCTCCCTCAGACCCAGGAGCCCCAGTCTGCACCCACCTCCTCCCTCAGACCCAGGAGCCCCAGTCTGCACCCACCTCCTCCCTCAGACCCAGGAGCCCCAGTCTGCACCCACCTCCTCCCTCAGACCCAGGAGCCCCAGTCTGCACCCACCTCCTCCCTCAGACCCAGGAGCCCCAGTCTGCACCCACCTCCTCCCTCAGACCCAGGAGCCCCAGTCTGCACCCACCTCCTCCCTCAGACCCAGGAGCCCCAGTCTGCACCCACCTCCTCCCTCAGACCCAGGAGCCCCAGTCTGCACCCACCTCCTCCCTCAGACCCAGGAGCCCCAGTCTGCACCCACCTCCTCCCTCAGACCCAGGAGCCCCAGTCTGCACCCACCTCCTCCCTCAGACCCAGGAGCCCCAGTCTGCACCCACCTCCTCCCTCAGACCCAGGAGCCCCAGTCTGCACCCACCTCCTCCCTCAGACCCAGGAGCCCTAGTCCAGTTCCTCAAACCCATCCTTCCTCAGACTCAAAAGTCCAGGCCCAAGACTCCCTTTCACTCTGAACCCAGAAATCTGGCTTCCTATTCCTGCCCCTCCCCCCAAATTCCTTATCACAATTTATTTTTAGGCTAAAGACCAAAGAGTCCAGACCTCAAGCCCCTCCTTCTCAGAACCGGAAGTGCAGGCCTCCGACCCACCTCCATCCAGACACGCCTGCCTCCCCACAGATGCAACTTTTCTCACCTGTGATGGGCTCCAGAGTGGGTGGGAAGTCGGGCGTGTCCAGCCCTGTGCAGAGTGGCCCTCTTATAGCTTACTTGCCCCGCCCCCACCCCCAGGGACCTGGAATTCAGGTGCAATTAGTGTCCCTGCAATTCTGGGACACTTTTCCCTGCACTTGCTCTTCTGGAATCCCGGAGGCAGCTAAAGCCATAGGCCCGCACGGCTGCCACTCGCACCCCAGAGGATGGGGTGGGACAGTACCCAGGGGTCTGGCCCCAGCACATTCTAGCGCCACTGTTCCTGGTGGCAGGTGCCAAGGGAGAGACCGGTGCTGGTGCTGAGGAGCAGGAGCAGGCATCAAGGACCTGCACAGCTCAGGGACTGGATTTTGTCCCGGGTCCCCCTCTGGGACCTTTTTTCTTTCTTTCTTCCTTCCTTCCTTCCTTCCTTCCTTCCTTCCTTCCTTCCTTCCTTTCCTTCCTTCCTTCCTTCCTTCCTTCCTTGTTATTATTTTTTTGGTTAATCCTCACCGAAAGATATTTTTCCATTGATCTTTTTAGAGAGAGTGGAAGAGAGAGGGGATGTCAGAGAGAAACATCGATGTGAGAGAAAGACATCAATTGGTTGCCTCCTGCAAGTGCCTAGACCAGGGCCCGGGCCAGGGAGGAGCCTGCAACCTCAGTACGTGCCCTTGACCGGAATCAAACCCGGGACCCGTTGGTCCGCAGGCCAACGCTCAATCCACTGAGCCAAACCGGCTAGAGCGTCTAGGATCATTTTTTCTCACTCTTGTGCCCTCTCAGGGGTGGACTAGACCCCACATCCTAACTCCGAGTATCCCGTGAGGTGGTTGAACTGGAGAAGTACCCTCAGTACTTCTTTATCCTTGACCAAGTCCAATTCAGACCTCAGCGTGGCACCTACTTAACTCAAGCTCCATCGCTCACATCAAGCAAACTTGGTCATGACACTCGACTGGAACCTTGAATCCCTGAACAGAAGTCAAGCTCAACCTTGACCCCAACACTAGGTGTCACTATATCCTGAATTCCAAAAGCCCGACCTCAGGCACACCTCAGACGTTAGTTTTGCATCCCCCCTCCCCCGCCTCATATTCCAGGAAGTCCATGTTGACGCCCTCCTCGTAAAACCATCTCACATTTACATCTGACTCCAATCCTAACACTCTGACCCAAATCCAAGATCTGTTCTCATTCCAAACTGAATTCCTACCTGAAATCTCAACATTGTTTTCATGCCCAACTCTTACCCCCAACCCTTCATCACCTCTATGACTCTATCTTTCACAGAAACGCTAACGTAATGTCTACAAACTAACAACATACTAATGTCCCTACACTGACTACATAAATCCAAGCTAAGTTCCCAGACCTACTTCTCACGGCAAATGGAAGGATTAAATAAAAATGATGAAAGAGAAATGGGTGGCAGGCAAGAATTATACAACGGAACCACCCACGCACACTTGAAAGCTATAAAATCTTATTAACCAAAAAGACCCCAATAGATGATTTCTTTTTAGAAAAAAAAAATGAATGAGCACCCAGCAGGGTCGGAATTTCTATTAGCTGCCTTAGCACACCATCCAGAGCAGTGGTCGGCAAACTCAGTCAACAGAGCCAAATATCAACAGTACAACGAATGAAATTTCTTTTGAGAGCCAAATTTTTTAAACTTAAACTATAAAGGTAGGTACATTGTTATTAACTTAATTAGGGTGCTCCTAAGGCTTAGGAAGAGCCACACTCAAGGGGCCAAAGAGCCGCATGTGGCTCGCGGGCGGCAGTTTGCCGACCACTGATCCAGAGAATAAAGCAGCTTCGATTTCTTGTTGCGCGTTCTGTGTGATGTGTCAGTCACTTGTTGGACCCCGTCACTATTCCTCACGTAAGTGCAAGTGTCATTGTCTTTCTCGTTTGTGTAGATGAGAACACGGAGGTTTTAAAAAGGGGAGGTAACTTGAGCAAAGTCATTCCGCTCAGGAGTCAGAAGGGCCAACCTGTGAACGTTGGGGACCGTTCATTGTATCACAGCCCATTTTCTGCGAAAGAAATTTCCCCTGGAAACCCTCCCACACTCTCAGAGTCTCATTTGGCCGAAAACAAAGTCAGAACCATATGAGTCTATGAATGATGCTGAAAGGGATGCAAGGGTAGAATAAAAATATAATGTGTTTCCCCACCCCCTCCTGTTCTCTTCCTTTCTCTGTCCTTTCCCCGAACCCTTTTACTAACAGAATATGTAATTGACTAATCAACGTGTATGTTTAACCTTATGTTTTCACCCAGATTTTGCTGCAGTTCTCAGTTGACTAGGCAAGAACAAAGAGACGCTTAACCCAGCCCTGAACTCACACGCCTGGCCACCAGGCATGCGGAGACTGATCGATTGGGTACAGAATCACGGATGACACACACCCGATCACTGCCTGGCCGGTTTCGGAACACTGACCATCCCTTTCCAGGCACCATTGATGAAGACATTCATCACGACCCAAGAATCGCCCCTTGGAACTCAAATTCCAGGACCACAAACCACCAGAAACCCCTTGCACTCCCTCCCTACCTTAAGCTCTCTCCTAGCAAGCGTAAGGGGGAGGGGGATGTTAGGATTTGTACCCATCATCTTCCCATACGTCTGATATTAAACACACATTTATAGTCCAATCCCTGTCTCTGCTTTTGACTGCGTGGTGATAGGCAACATATGCCCTGGACTCAATTTCTTTTTTATTTATTTATTTAAAAAAATAGTTTTATTGATTTCAGAAAAGAAGGAGAGGGAGAGAGAGATAGAAGGAGAGATGAGAGATAATCATTGATCGGTTGCCTGCTGCACGCCCCACACTGGGGATCCAGCCTGCAACCCAGGCACCTGCCTTGGTTGGGAATTGAACTGTGACCTCCTGGTTCATAGGTCGATCACTGAGCCACGTGGGCTGGGCAGACCTCTGGTTTCAATGCCGTGTTAGTGAGAGTCCCAAATCCCAGCCCTGCCATGCTGTTGGGTTTAGTCCATGACCTGTTCTTAAATGCCACCCAGACACCCTGACCCATGCCACCCTTGGTCTTAGGCCTGTGCTCTGAACTTTACCCAATGACTCATTTTCTAGCTCAGGATCTCACCTGAAAACTGGCATATGCCTGTCCTGTCAGCTGTGCCATGCCCTGGGGAGCCTCAACACTGATCCTGGACCCTTTAGATTTGGCACCCGGGACCTGAAGGCCAATTGTTTCTAACTTTCTGGACTTACTTCCTCCTACTTTAAAAACATCTCCCCACTTCTCGGAAAGCTGCCCCCTCATATCTTTTTGGCGAAACTGTCAATTATACTCCTTTAAGCCCTCCCATCCATTGGGGTGGATGCATGACCCCGGCTAAGCTAACAAGAGCACTGCTTCTCTTGCCCGGCCGGTGTGGCTCAGTGGTTGAGCATCAACCCAGACACCAAGAGGTCACTGGTTCGATTCCCGGTTAGGGCACATGTCCAGGTTGTAGCTCAATCCCCAGTAGATCAATGTTTCTCTCTCATTGATGTTTCTATCTCTCCCCACCTCTCCCTTCATCTCTCCCTAAAATCAATTAAAAAAATATTTTTTAAAAAATTAAAGAGCACTGCCTCTCCCCTAGAAATAATGATTGATTGAAGGGGTGGGCTCTGTTCAAGAGCTGGACCAATCAGAGTTCTCCCTTGGGATTAAAATCAAGACGCCAGGAGAAAAGGGGCCTTTGTTTTTGCTGGGTTTGCTTAA